CTTCAGTGACGGTTTCCAGAATTTCCAGTTAAAAGTGTCCCTTGGAAAGAGACCAAGGCACAGACATTTGCTTCCTGGTAAGGACAAAACAGGAGGTGAGGTGGACCAGTGGCCTGATGCAGGGGAAGTCCTCCTTCTATGTTCTAAAGCAGGGTGGGCAACCTGTGGCTCTCCAGCAGTTGTTGAACGCCAGCTCCGATCAGCCCCAGCCACCCTGCCCAGCAGCAACTCAACGTTCCCAGTGGGAACCAGAGATGCAGAAGGCTGGTTGCAAGGGGGCAGAACAGGTTGCGCAGCACACGCGGCCTGCCCCGCAGCAGAGGGAACAGCTGGAGGCTGCCGCTTCTGCTGTCAACATCTGCCACCTGAGGCACTTGCCTCACTCTGCCTCATGGAAGGGCCGGCCCCGGTCACCAGGCACCCACAATGGTCTGGGGAGACTGGGGAACACCAAGCTGAAAGGGCCCTGTGTACAAAAGGCAGCCAGGACTTCTTTCCACCCTAGCAGACATAGAATCATGGAAGCATAGACGCAGAGCGAGTCAGAAGGGGCCTCGTGGGCCATCTAGCCTGACCCCCGGCTCCAGCCAGCTCCGCTAAGGACCTGTCTATCATTTGCACGTCCAGCCTCTCCTTGAACACCCTCGCCAATGGGGCTTCAACCAGCCCATTCCATGCCCCAGGGGTCCTAATGGACAGGTCGTGCTTCCTGGCATCCAGGTTGAACCTTGGTTCCCTGAGCTTGGCTCCACTGGGACGGAGACCTTAGGGGGAGTTTTGGAAAGTTATCCAGAAGGGCATCCTTGGCACACTCGTGTGCATGCTGCTTCTGGAGCTGCTTTGAAAAAAATTTGAAGTACAGTGGGAGGACTCAGTGCAAAATGGGCATGATGGAAGATAATAAATAGCAGAAAAGGTCCAGATGCCTGGATCAGCCCTCTACTTGCTCGGCTGTCTGAACAAACAAGCCCAGCACAGTTTTGACATGTGATATTCCACTGAGGATCACTGCTTGCTTGGCTTCAGGTCCAAAAAAAGAAGAATCTTTCAGCCTGGGGCGTGGAAGGAGGGCTTGTTTTATTTTGAGGGCTTGCAGAAACTTTCCTTGTTCTGCTGCTGGTAGTCTTCTTTTTCCCCCTCTCTCTCTTCAACTGATAAAGCAGAGCTGTACTGAGAAAGGCACCTCTCCCAGCTCTGTCGGGTGTAGAAGCAAGAGGAGAGAACTGGCTGGTGAACACAGGTCTCCCTCCTCTGTCCACAAGATGTATGGACTCGCCTCCTTTCCTTTTCACCTGTGGAGAAGACGGATCGGCAGCTCAGGGACAGTGGAACAGTGAATTAGCATCTCCAGGAATAAACAGCCTCTCTCTCTCTCTCTCTGCCTGTCGCAGTGCAAAAAGCTGGCATCTGAAGGAGACGGGGAACGTACTTCAGCTGTGCGCTGCTTGGCAAGCCAAGTCTACCAGCTCAGGAAGCAAAACCTCTTCCAGGACATCTGAATCTTGGAGGGGATGCCCGAAGGCCACCTTGTGGGCGATCCCCCACCTACTTCAGGTACGTACCAAGCAGGTGCCTTGAGATTCCACTTCTCTGGTCCTAATTACAGTGAAAGATCACAGATTGCGCTTCTCTGATTGTTGTCTTCTCTATCAGCAACACAGAGATTTTCTATGTTCCAATTTATTGCATATTTTTATGTGAGGGCAAGGCTGAAAGACCATCTGCCAGTGACAGAAAACTAATACTAAGATTTTTAAGAATGCAGTGAAATATCAGTTTTCTTGGTCGGTGGGTATTTTAAAGAGAACTGAGAGCATCTGTACACTACAAACCAGTCATGCCAGAGTATTGATTTCAGTGGAAAATTAAACCCAGGCATTCTGTCTTGAGAAGCCAGTGGCCTTCTTTTTAAATTCTATCACATCCCCGAAAATCTGAGTGCTTAGGACATCAGTTTTCCTGCCAAGATTAGCAAGGTTTTAGTCTAAGACATTTCCACATGATTGCTCACCACCTCCACTCTTCTGAGGACTGGCCAGTTCTGAGTGAACATCACCTGTGAAAGAAGTCAGTGATCAGGTAGAGAGTGAGCTTGAGTTTTATGCCAAACTGGGATAGGAGGAAAATGCAAGATGCTTTCCCAGTTGGGTGTTTACTATAGTTGCGTAGATATAAGGAGATCTTGCTACTCATTCCCTGGCCTTGAGGATCTCCGTCTCCCCTCTCCATTTGTATTAGGGATGTTCCAGGGTGATTCCATGAGGAACAGACCCTGATGAAAATCCTGGTCTCCCTAAACAATCCTAATTGTAGATACCATTTTAGGCACTAAGTCTTGGGGTTCAGACAACACAATAACCATTGAACCAGGGCTTGTTGAAATGTAGGTTGCCTGAAACCAGCTGCTCTACCAACCCATGAACAACCCATGAGGAGGACCCATGGCTATTGTCAGCTGCGAACTAGGGGCTATCCACCTTGCTCAAGCAACATACATTTCACCAACAACGCATGACAACTCACACTCAGCTCTTGAGTGCAGATTATTGTGATGTCCGAACCAAAAGTTTGTTCTGTTGCTCAGTCCAGTGTAATGAGACGTATCAGATCTGCAACTTCATAACCTGAGATCCACGTGTGTGCTTTTATATTTTGATTATTGGCTTACTCCATTTTTCTATCTTTACAAGAAAGCTGTGAAGTATGGTGGGCCGAGGGAAGGGGAATGAATGGCTCCAGTCACTCAGTACGTTTTTTGGCTGTAGGGAATTGATCCTAAGCCCCCTTGAGATGCAATATTCAGGTGTTCTAATCCCACCCCTTTGGCCCTGCCCAGCTCCCAGGAGCATCTCTGAAATAGAAGTTGGCCCACAGGCAGAAGGATCTTAATGCAGTTGCTTTAACCTATTCCTGCAAGGGCTTCCCTACTCCATGAAGAGAGGGCCTCTTTTATGGGTACAAACAAGGATGCTCATCCCTTGTGCAGGTAAATGAGCATGAAAACATGGGGAGACTGCATATTAGTGGCAATGATCTACCTGGAGGGGCTCCCACCCGGCCACCATGACGTGTGTGGGCACAGCCTCTAAGCAAGGACTGGGCAGTGTGCAGTGTATCCCGAGAGAGAAGGCAAGAAGGAGGGCAATGCACACCCTGCTTCCACTGGGCAAATTACATCCCGCACCCACCAAGGAAGGGCCAAAATATAAAATGTTCCACAGGCACCCCAGCTACATTTGTTCTTTTTTTTTTTAATTATCCTTAATTACTCCTTAATCTTTTCCATTCATTTAGAAGTGCACAGTAGAGGCTCATTAACTTGGGGCTCTTGGTACATAATGGATGATTATTACCCTTGAACTCTGGGTTAATGTCTTTAACATTAAGCTATCTAATTTCCAGAAGTGATGTCCATGGTAGAAGTTAGGCCATTAGCACCCGTGTTGTTTGGAGATTAGGCATGAGCTCCATTTTTCTCAGCTGAGACTGAGAAACCACAGAAGCCAAGAGAGAGAGAAGCCATGGCCACAACCCAGAAGTCCACTTTCTGTTATTCCAGATCTAATTCCTCCTTACAACACTGACATCCATTCCCTGCTGCCAATAAACACAGCCAGAATCAAGAGGGAGGCTTCGGCATGTTGGGGGAACCCTGGAGTTAGCAGAAGTAAGACAGATCTGACAAGAGGCAATGGAGAACGCCAGTTGCTGTACCCCCATCACATGATTAATAGCAGCCCCAAGCTTTGGAGATCCCTGGGCAACCCTCCATGGCCACCTCACTTGAGGCATCCACTCCAGGTTTCAGTCTGAACATTTCAGGGGCTTTCCATAGTGCCAGACCTCAATTCCAAAACAGATTCAGCACCATGGACAGCAACTTTCAGGTTGAGAAGGCCTGGAGTGGCTGTGCCACCCCAGGACACTGAACCCACCACTGGGAAAAGGAGGAGGAGCTCCAGGTGGCCCTCAGCTGCGGAATCTGGGCACTTGGTGGGCATCTAGCCATGCTTACCCTTGACCCCATTCTTCACACCACCCACGCATGCCCATGCCCATGCACACAGCCAAACCAGTGAGGATGATGCGTGCTCAGTTGCAGTCACAGAATGCTGAACATGATTTGGAAAGCCGAAAGAGAACTCCGCACCCTCCCAGTGCTGACAACAAGGTCACACCTGTGCCTTTTGGACCTGCAGTGGATGCAGGAAGAGCAGCACAAGCTAGTGCGGGAGAAGGTGCTCCAAATCCAGAGCTCCAGCTTGGAGCTTGACCTTGGAGCATTTCCCTGATGTTGGGGCTGGGGCTCCGAATTTTCCTACAGGCAGCTAGCAACCCTAAGACTGTGCCCCAAGGGGACTCTAGGAAGCCCAGAAACGTTCAAGCAGTCTGTCCAAAAAAGAAACAAATGACAGCCACTGCTGCAAACAAAGATATTCGGGTGATGCTTCGCTTGATCATGCTGTTCTTCTTTTTAGAAAGAAAGGGTGTAGCTACTGATCCTGCTGGCAGTCGGGTCATTTGAAGGTGGGAGAAGGAAGGTCCAGACTCTTAATCCAGTCACTGTTCAGCCTTCTGATGAAGAAAAAAGAGCACGGCCGGAATTAATCAAAGCCAGACCTTGGCTGGATAACTTGTCAGAAATGCTCTCTCCAAGCTAGTCCTGTATTGTGTGTATTTTGTCCTTCCAGAAGAGGATAGGAATAACTTTCCCCCAGAAGGATTTGTGTTACAGACAATAAATTCAGAGTGTTTGACTTTGGCTGGATTCGATATATGCTTGATTGGTTTGGTTCAACCATTTCATGGGGCAAAGCCGTTGAGAAATTTGTCCTGTAACAAGAATGACTTTCCTATGCAAGGCAAAGACTTCGGGATCACACAAAGTCCATCCAACACAAAGGCATGAATGACATCCCAAGGATCCTCTCTAGCTTAACAGCAAAGGAGGAGCCAGGAATCTGAGTGAGCAAGGAAAATGGACAAGACCTGACGAAGCAATGACTGAGCTCTACTTCCGATTCCGGGGGAATCTTACTGGCCGTGCCCACCCACCCCCAACGCTGGCCACAGAAGTGACCACCACTGATAAATACTCCAACCTGTACATGTACGTGGGGCTGTTCCTCACTCTCCTGGCCATCCTGCTCATCCTTTTCTTCACAATGCTCCTGCGCCTGAAACACGTGATTTCCCCCATCACCACCTCTCCAGAGAGCACTGAGAACATCCAGCAGTTTACAGATGTGGAGATGCATGCCAGAATCCCAAGCACTTAGCAGCCGGAAGCAGCTGGGCTGCAGAGCAGATGTTTGGTGCCAGAAACCCATCTCCATTGTGGGGGAATATATGGCTCCCTCTCTCTGGATTCCTGAACCAAAATGTGAGCAGGACTTGTGGGATGGGAGGTTTGCTTTGCTTTGGAAAGGACAATGAACATCTGGCAAGTTTGTGCTCTCCTTAGGCGGTGCAAGGAATGTGTGCTTTGCATCTGACATACAAGCAATAAGTGGCTCCACAGAACTGTGTGAGGCTGCTCATTAAATCTGCTTTCTTTCAGGAGAAAACTGGGGACTTCTGGAAAACTCTCTGGCAATGAATAGAAGCAAGCGTGTGTCCACCAAAGAGGAGGGGAGGAGGGAAACAGGGAAGCAAGTCAGAAATCCATCACAAGGTTATAGTCGCTGGGGCATATGATACAACCTCAAGCCTTTCCCAGTTATAATGCCCTGAGTATCACGCTAGAGCAAAATAGTACATTTTCATTTGTTAGGCCCTCCACTGATTCAAAGAGAAGGTACAGCTGCGCACAGACACACAGAGATGAATGTGTCTTTGTAGCTCATATCTTTGAAGAAAGGAAATTCTAAATTGGGGTGCAGAACCGCAGGTCTGTGGACAAACGTTGCCCCATGTGGGGTCTCCAATCTGCTCCCCTGCCTCCAGTCATTGGCCGTGTGCCCTTCCCCTGCCCACCTCCCTTCCTGGCCACCAACCATGTGGTGATTTTCTGGCTTCTTCCTCATTCCAATTCTTCTCCTCAGGCTTTTGTCGCCGCAATAAGAGCTTCATGCTGCAGGGCGCTGGACAGGCGGACTCCAAGGGCCTTTTCTGAGCAGGGGCCACTCCTTCTGCAGGCAACACTGGTTGCTTCTCCCATTGTTACGGACAGGAGCTGCACGGCGGATGATGCACACATGTGGCGAAGGCATGTCATCCTCTGGATTGGGCAGGCCAGGTGTGTGTGATGCAGAAAATTTCCTTTAGATGCTCCTCTACAAGCCCACTCAAGTCTGAGCCAACCCCCATGGCCTCCATTTGGCAAAGCATGGCGACACTGGGCCCTTTCCAAAAGGACAGGGGTTCAGCTGACCTGACACCCGAAAGTGCCCTCCGCTTCCTCCATCTGTCCCCATCATTTTTGTTAGGATAGGAATTCCTCTGCCCCCCTCTTTAACTGTCAAGCAGTGGCATCTGTCAGGTCTTAGTAGAGCAAACCACATCACGCTGCCTTTAATCATGCTGTCTGTCTGTTTCCTGTCTCCTGGTCTCCTGTCCTCCTGCCTCCTGTCCTCCTGTCTTCCAGCCTTCCCCAGCCAGGTGCCCTCCAGATGTTTGGGACTTCAGGTGCCATGAGTCCTGGCCAGCATGGTCAATGGGTAGGGATGCTGGACATCTGGAGCACATCAGGTTAAGGCAGGCTAGTGAAAGAGTAGCCCAAGTCTGGCTCAAGAAAATGAATTCATCACAAGAGTGCCTCCAGGAGGGTAAGCGTCTATTCCCCTGATGCAAGCAATGTTTTCTCCTTTGCTTTGGAGTCCGTATCTTGGTTATGCAACAACAAGACTCATCTGAACAGCTGTGCATTTACAAACTACACTAATTAATCAGTGAATGTACACAGGGAACTTCAGGGGGAAAGCTGAGTGGATGAGACGAGGCTTTGTTTGAAGAAACAGACAGATTCTCTGAAGGAAAAGGCAGTTTGCACGCTGCGGACCTCCAACCGCACAAATATGCCGTATGCTCTCCATAGCATACAGATTTATCACTGTGTACAGACTTCTGCATCAACAAGAAAATGCTGGGCTGTTTATTGCCATCTAAGGGCAGTAGCGCTTGAAGGAACATTTTCCTGGAAGGACAGAGATGCAGAGTTGTCTTTACAAGGCATATAACTTTTCAGGGGTGAGAATTAATCTCAGCACCATCCTTCTAACTCTCCTAGAAATAAAGCCACAGGGGAATCCTATCATACAGCATCCATCCGCCAATTCCCCTTCTCTCCGTGGACCTTGAAAGTGCAAATTCCCCAAACTCAGCCCTGGCTAAAATTAGCAAATATACAGACTCCCTTGGCGTGCGACTATAACATGTTCGTGCAATGCATTAGAAATAGTAGCGTTTTAAAAACCGCCTGCACCTATCTCCCCACCCTGGCTTGCCTTGGTGAGGTTTGCTTCTTCTCACCCGGAAGCGTGAGTGAACAGGCCGAGGCAGAATGTCTGCTTTTGTTCACACTGCGAGCGGCTGGTTCTTTGTAGGAGAGCACCAGACTCATCCTTCTCTTCGTAGGACGAAATGTTTTTTTCACTTGCAAGGAAGCGAGCCAGGCTTCATTCAGACCTGTGGCAAGAATGGCCTGCCTCTTTCCTGGCAGCACACGAGGTTGGGAGGGAGGAGGAGGAAAACGAGGGTGGCAGCAAGAGGAAGGGGTCGCCCAACCGCTTTTGGTTTCGCAATGTGAACTGATGGTGCACAGAGGGCTTTTGAAGTGGGGTCTTTGTCCCATGATCTCCTCCTGAGCTGCGGGGATCCAGTGGATTCCATCCTTGGAGCTTTACTGCACAACCTTCAGACTTCTGGGCTGAAGACTCAATGGGTCTGGACCTGGAGCGCTTCACTGGGAGCACAAGAAGAATAGGAGGTGCAAAACTCTGTTTTTTTCCCGAGAATAAAGCTCCATCACAGTAATTGACCCAGAGTGCATGGCGGAGTTCCCTTTTATACCCCTTCTGACCAGATAAAGATGACAGATGCCCACTCAGTTGAAATTCCTGCCCTGAATACAGGTGATTCCCAGACTCACCTGGGAGGCTGGGTTACCTGGAGGTTGGGCTGAGGGCTTTGGTGGGAGATTGCTCAAGCTCTGGCCATGTGTAATACTCTGATTTACCTTGACGATGCTTGGAACATGACCAACCTGCCTGGACGTGATGTTGGCCAGCCAGGTATGTCCTACAAGGTGATGTTTAGGCAGGTGCCTCTATTCACCTGAATCCTTAAATGGGCCAGAGGCCAACCAGTAATGGCTAATGGTGGTGGGGAGAGAGAACGTGTACAGAGAGGTGGTATTCTCAAACACACACACATAGAGAACCCCTGGGATGCAGTGGTTACAGTGGGTCACCAAACTTGTGTTCCCACCTGAAATGAAACTCGCCGGATGACGTTGGGCCAGGTGCTGGCCATCCTACCTCACAGGTTTGTTGTAGATGAAATGAAGAGGAGTTGGCTCTTGTCTGCTGCCTTGGTCTCCTTCGAGAAAAGGTGGAAGAGAAATGTCACAAATATATTAAGTGCTTTTATGGATGCCATTGGTAGAACCAAAGACTCTTCAAGCTGTACAACTTGTACACCAGTTAACCAAATTAAAACAAGAGTATTTTGATTTACTGTGTTGTACTGAAATCAGCTGATTTGGAGGAAACCTACGTATGATTCAGCCATGCTCAGCTGAAATGAAGGAGAGTTCAGGCAAGAATGAAACAGTGACCAGGTCGACTCCTGTTGCTCTCAGCAGAATTAGTGCACCTGATGCCCCAGGTAGATTGGCTTGGATGTCAACTTAAGGAAACTTGCAGACGGCAATGTCCCCATCCGCTACCACTGCACCTCTCCAAAGATTCACGGGGGTCCGGTCACCCTAAGTGGTGAAGGGGGAAGAACCATCCCAAGCTGGGGGAGCCCTGCCTGCCTGGGGCTCCAGAGGGGCTTCTGGTCCTCAGCTGAGACCAGAGTTCCCCAGACCTGGATTCAGACCCTGAGCAGAAATAGTTTCTCAGGCCTGGAATGAGCCCTTTGTGTGGCTTTAGCCTTATGTGTGTCCACACAGTGGTAACACAGACTGGGGTCCCTGCCACGCATTTTCTCTGGAAGGCAGGCTGGGAATTGGCATTCAAGGTTTTTTGGCTTTCCAGAGGGAATGCACTCTTTAAAGGAGTGTGGCTTATGTGCAGTGTGGAATTTGCACCATAATTAGACAAAACGATGCCCTAAACCCCCAGCAGAGAGTAAACACAGTAATTGGTGTCCATTTGTGCCAGAAAATCCACAGAGAAAATGCTTTGGTTCTCTTCAGTGCGGCAGTTTTGAAGGAAGAGGCCAAAGTCAAATAAGATTCTTCCATATAGGAGCAACTAAGTTCTCTCAAGTTTGTGCGTATCTTAAGTAAAGCAACTATTTGGCTTGCATACACAACCTTTCCAATTCATCTTTCCTGCAACCTTTTTAAAAACTTGCCTTTCCCTGGTCTGGCCCCCAGATGATTCACAAGAAACAAACAAAGCATTTTCATCCAATAATTCAACAATATACAAGAAGCAATTCCCAAATGCTCCTAAATGGAATGTGCAACAGAAAACAGAAGGCCACGGTGTTGCCAACTAAGGGCGTGGGGGAAATGCAGGTATTCCGTGAAACCTGCGTGAGTTACTGTTCCTGGGGGGACACTGCAAGGGTGAGCATCCTCCGCAGAAGAGATATTGCCCCTGGTTGCCACCCACATCCAAAGCGAGAGAAGTGGAGGGAGAAGGAAAAGCTTGGCTAGGCGCCCATAATGGCACTGGGCTGCCTCAGAGCTCCCTGGTCACCACCCACGCGAGTCCAGGTCTCTTGCATTTTTGCATGCAAGAGAACAAGATCCCTCGCCAAATGCAAGAGCTTGCACTTTGCCCATCACCAGCACGCAGTAGCATTGGGATCATGTAGCCTGAAGTGCCTGACCCTGCCTAATCTTGGAAGCTAAGCAGGGTCAGGCCTGGGCAGAAGTGGGATGGGTGACTTGAGTGTATGATTCTATGATTATTGCTGTCAACTCCCTAGAGAGCTTTGGCTATGGGCAGTATAAAAATGTAATAATAATAATAATAATAAGTATCTCAACTCTGCTGGAAGAAAAGAGCTCATGGTAGACTGGGTGGTGGGCAGAAGGCATTTCAACAGTATTTACAGCCTTTGAAACCTTGAATACCTTAAAGCGATTCATTCACCTTGACCA